TACATATTCTTAATAAAATTTTAAGCAATTATAAAAAAATATAAAAAAAAATATTCTAGCGGGTATATTTAGCTGCTAGACAGTTTAAGGGATAGCTTCTAGATGAATTACAATATTGGAAAGAGAAAGATTCATGATTTTTATCATGACTTCTAAATAAATTATGATGTTAGAAAGAGGAAAATTCATGATTTCTATTATGGTTTCTAGATGAATTATGATATTGCAAAGAGAAAGATTCATGATTTCTAACATGACTTCTAGATATATTACGATGTTGTAAAGGGAAAGCTTCATGATTTCTAACATGACTTCTAGATAAATTATGATGTTGCAAAGAGGAAGCTTCATGATTTCTAACATGACTTCTAGATGTATTACGATATTGAGAAGAGGATCGATTTCTTGACGAATCACTATGTTGGGAATAAGAACGATTTCTAGACAAATTATGATATTGGAAGGAAGAATTAAATACGTAGCTTCTGCTATGGCTTACACATGAATCACATGAATTACTACATAGGGATGGTTGGTAAGATTCATAACTTCTATCATAAAAATCATCTTTACATAGCGAATTTGCACAACTTATACTGCAGGATTTATTAGACGATTTAGAAGATTTAACTAATACAACAAGTAAAAAAGTCGACATTCCTTGTGCCTCTTTATGGTTTTTTATTTCATTAATTAACGATTCACATAATTTTTTTGAACCTAATTTAGAGTTAAAGTTAGATACATTATGTAGTGTAATAAACAAAATTACATATATATCGAATATATAAATCTATAAATTATTGAATATGTATTATTTTTTATACATATAAAACTTATTACTATCTGGGTCTTGAGTTTATTTTTTTTAGATTTAGACTGAGAAGTTACACTCCCTAAATGACTTGAAGAGATTCACATGTACTTTTTTGATTTTTCACGATGATCTAAAATTATCTAATTTCTAATTAGTTCAGTAAAGAACTGAACTGGGATAGATCTTTTAATATTCTTATAAACTAT